CCCAGGTCCCTGACCTGCAGGCAGGCGAGGGATGCATGGGTAACCTAACTGAAATCTCGCAGCCTGTTCGTTTTACGCATTTGTCAGAAACGATCGTAAATATCTAAATTTTAACAAAGATTTTTTCTAACACAAACTAGCCAAAAGAGATTTCTTCACTTAACCAAAGAATCTAAACGAACCACCAACCTAACAGTCCGCAATGGTCTCTTGACAAACCTGTTTTTTTTTATTAAGTCAACTTTTGGCCCCTCAACTATTGGGTTCGCTTAATTTTGATCCTCAACTACAAAACCGCTCTAATGTTAGTATCCAAACCGTCAAAACCATTCATTTTAGTACCGAACGCTGGCGGAGTGTTTTTGACCGACGTGGAGCGGGTTTGACCACACCACCACCGGCATTGACCACCACGTAAGACATCGCCTTCATCTTAGTGACATGTGGGGCCCACATGTCAATCACTCATCCTCTCCTCTCCTTTTCCTCTTCACCACCGCTGTTGATGGCTCTCCACCCCGGGCGCCGCTGTGGCACTGCGTGGCCGGTGGACACCTCTTCGAAGGCCCCTAAACGACCTCGCAAGTCCCTCCACGCCGACCATTCGCCACGCCGGGCGAGGCCAAGAACCATCGCGCCAAGGCTTCCAAGATCCACCGCGAGATCTCGAGCCCCGACGCCCGCCACCAAGTCCGGCCACGCCGCAGAAGCTCGCTTACCTCCTCGCTTCCACTTCGCTTCGCCGGCTCCCACCCGCCGCGCTTTCGCCACCATCGAGCTCCTCGCTCGCCGCAGACCGCCGCCCATTTAACGCTGGACTACTCGCCGAAGTCCTCTCACTTACCCGGCTCGCCTCACGCCCCGCCGCCACGCATCAGCTCCACAAGGACCTTTTCCTCCGCCCCCATCCGCCGGGCATCGCCACCAAGAAGACGCTCAAGGCGCAAGGCCCAGCCTTCTTGTTTCGCTTCGCCACTGCCATCGCGATCGACCTCCCCGCCCACTCGCAGACAACTCGTACACACGCAGACGCTGTAGCCTCGCGCTTATCGCCACTGGGCTAGGCTATAGCCGCCGCCATTCATGCGGCCGCCGTGTTGCCCTCGCCGCCCATGGCGGTCGCCATCGACCGCCAAAGACATGATGTTGTGGTCCGCTTTGCCATTGGGAAAGCCAAGGCTCAGGGCCTCTACGCGCTTCATGCCGGATGCTCACATGGGCTGGGGACGACGCTGGCTGCCGCCGAGGAGGCGCTGTGGGCGCCGCCGTGAGGATGGAGATGGAGGATGAGCGAGTGATGCGTGGGCCCCACATGTCACCGAGATGGACGCTGGCGCCCACACGTATGCGGTCAACGCCAACGTGGCGTGGTCAATTCGCCCACGTTGACAAAACAAATTACCAAGGCCTGTGTGCTAAAAGTGAACGGTTTTGACAAAGCTTGGGTACCGCATTAGATGGTTTTGTAGTTGAGGGTTAAAATTAGACGAACCCAATAGTCGAGGGACCAAAAGTGGATTTAATCTTTTTTATTTTTGTTGTTGGACGAGACACAGAAGCCTGCCTCGAAATCTCGAGTGTTGAACACTTCGCAAGCGTGTCAAGATGGAGGAAAGAAATGTGATGAGAACGGAATACCGATTCACCTTTTGCTTGTGCGAACGACGTGGCGGCAGTGGAATCTCCTGTTGCCTTGCTTGGTCAGATTACCGGCCGGACCATGCCTTCAGACGTGTGCTCCGGTTGGCCTCCGAGACCCTGGTTCTTCTACCTGGGGCACACTAGGGGAGCCGACAAGGCCCAGGACGGTAATGTGTTGCAAGGCCGGGCAGATCTGCTGGTAGCTTAAAAAACGTGTTACAAGGCCGGGCCTGTCTAACTAGGGTCATGACCCCTATCGACTGATAGTATAAGCAAACGCTTTAGGCCTGAAATAGGCTCTTGCATTTGCGTTCGGTTTTGCCTGAACTGTCAACTTGTGCAGTGGACAGTTGTTGCTCTGTATTAGGGCTGGCAATTGGTCCAACCATCAAAGTAAAAAAACTCTGGGCCTCCAATGGGCTGCAGGGCCTTGTGGAAACTTAATAAAAACAAACGTAGACAGGATGTTATCTATCTATCTATCCTCATACTAAAGAGGTAAAAAATTTCGTTACTTTAGGTTTTCGTCCAACCTAATAATTCCTAAAGTAACTCGGTCTCGACCATCAGCTCCGCAGAAGTTCTAGTCTATCGAAACAGCATAGGATTTGACCTAGTCAGCTTAAGCGGCCCATAGGAGGAAGATGTACCTTGTGGAGGGCGGCGGTCCCCTGGACTTCTGTTTCGTAGAAAACGTTTCTGTTTGCATGTTCTTGTCCTTATCCGTTTCCTTTTTACTCTATCCAGTTTTCGTCAGATATAACCCCACGTTCAGTTTTGTAAGTGATTTTTTCTTTTTATCTCCTTTTTTTATAAACAAAAATAACAAATTACAAAAATAGTAAGTAGAAAAAACAATGCGTGAGATGAATCTTCAATACGTGACCTTTTTTGTTTTTTTCTCTTTTTTGTCTCCCTTTTTTATAACAGAAAAATAAATAATAAATATAGTATATGGAATCGTCAAACCTTTAATCTTCTCTAATGAACAAATCATGACTGAGACCTAGCAGTTTGTCATCCAAACTAATAATCTATATATATCTATACCTTAATTAAAGATGTAAACTTTTTTCCGTCGATTCTAGAAACTCACCTTGGGGCTTGAGTTCATCCTCTACATGTCAATAAAACCCAAATCCGATATCATAACCTTATTATATCCTTACACCCTGTGTTCTATATGGACCCCGAGTCATGATCCGTGCTCATAAGAGTTACAATAACTCGCGTATGAAGTACGATTCCATGATGTATTAGTTTCCATCGCAATGCACGGGCATGTTTGTTAGTAAGTATTAATTGGACAAAAAGAAACTGTTTCTCAAAAAAGGACAAAAAAAAAAAAAGAATCCAGTTTGTTTACAAGCAATACGATGCGCTGTTGTAACAAGGAACTGACTAACTGTACCCTTACAGGAACTATTGGACTTAGGGAAAAGGTTATACCCCTTACTATTTTACCGCTATGGCCACAGAAAGAAAAAGAATCAAGTAAGTACGAGATAAAGAGGGGGTGCTATAGTATTCGTGTGCTTCAGCTTGAACATCCACAAGGAGATTCCAAAGGAGGACTAGCATCATGTTTGATGCGACTCAAAGGCACGGCACCTACAGGCAAGCTGCGCACATCGTCCACCCATCAAAATGACGCAACCCTTTCCGTTACGCTCCTGAAAAGAGCACGGCACACCTCCGTGCCGGTGCCGTGGATGAACAGCGCCGGCCGGACGATAATCACAGGTGTTGGCCTTTCTGTCTCGCTTTTCTGCCATGATGGAAGTTGCTTTGATGACTAGGGCAGCAGCAACGCAGGCTACCAGGAGTGTTAGCCTTAGGGCGTCCGCAATAGTATGGGGAAATCTCCAGCTGACATGGTAACCTGACGGATTAAAAAAAAATAGAATCGTGGAGGTGCACAGGTCCCAGAGGAGAGATACGAGAGAAAGTTTATGGAAAACTATACGAGCCTGAAAACTATACGAGCCTATCTACTTGTCCGTCGCTGATGACTTCGTTTTTATGTTCTCTCTCCTCCACGTCATATAAAAACAATATCAGCTAGCTGTTATGAAGACAGCTTGCTGTTATTAGACAGCTTGTTAGGGACGCCCTTAGGAAAAGTAATAGGCCACCTAGATAGAGCAGCACCTACCTATTAATTTTCCCAATGCAAGTGAATGCTCTCCTCTAACACACCAATAGCCTATGTCCTGCAAGTTTTCTATCTTTAGTACCGTGGTCCCGTGAAAAGCGTGGTGAGGCTATGCTGCTTTAGCTCCAACGCGCGCGAGGATGACTGCTTCCAGTTTTCGTCAGACACTCGGCGCTTCTGCAGGAGGTACTGACACTTCTGCGAGGCAGCTGATGGATGTGAGGTGGACACCAAATGCGTACGTGGAGGCTGAGGTTAATAGCCACCGTGTCGGGCTGGGAAGCCCTTACCGGTGGGTGCTGGCTCTTCGATTATGCGTTACGCCGCGCCCAGGTGCATCAGATTATGCTAAGGGCGTGTTCGGCTGGTCGGCTTCGGCTGGCCGGCTGGTTTTTTTATTTTTCCAAATTTTGAAATAAAGATTTTTTCTCACCAAATTTTAAGATAAAATGTTGTTTTCTAGCTCTACAAAGACTCGATAACATTGAACTGGATTCTCGCAGACAGATCTCTAATAGAATTTCTATGGATTGAGAACCTCACGTTGTGATCAACAAGAGTGTAAGGTTGTCCGCACCGCTGCAAGAAATGGGTAGAAGGCGACGGCAGACGCCAGCCAGTAGCTCATCTGCAGGCCCCGCACCACTGCTACCAGAATGGGTCGGAGCGCATCACGCGCACGTAAAAAACGCCATGCATCACAAGACGCGAGAGAGAAAACGCTAAACACCGCACAAAAAAGAGTTATTGAGAGAGAAAGAGGAGAGAGTGGAATAAAATATGAAAATAGTGGATAGTAGAGATGAGACAGTAGAGCAATACTGACGCGCAAAAAATGGACATAGTAGTAGAGAATCTCAACGACAAGATAGAATATTTCTTTTTAAAGATGAAAAATAGAGGTGAACCAGTGAGAATAGCCTTTGTGAAGCTGACACGATCCGCTTTTCCATGTTGTCAAGCGTCCTCGCATCGCATCTCGGCTACGACGGGGCTACCTTTGCTAGTCACAGGCAGTACTCTCAGAGTCGCAGTGAGGCGCACGGCCACGGCACCAGCAGCGTCGGATACCCCAGATCTCACGCGCCCCACCACACCCCACCCCACACCCGCGCTGCACACGCCGAGTGCCACTGCCCCCCGCGACCACCACCACCACCTCGGCTACCTATCCACTCGCCGAGCGAGCCGGCCGCGTCCGTCCATGGCGCGCCCCGGCAGCCGCCGCGCCTGCCGCCCGCCGCCTCCGGCCAGCCCTGAGCCGCGGGCGGCAGCAGCCACTCCCCCGCGGCCCGGTTCCGCGTCCCGCCGCCGCGCCCGCAGGGTCCGCGTCCAGAGCCCCTCTCGCGGCCGTCCGCCGGGGTCCCGCCCCGCCGCCGCCGGCACACCTCCTCCGACACCCCTGCGGGTCCGGTGGCCCCTGGGCACGGGCGCTCGCTCTGCCTCCTGTCCCGGTGCGGGCGCTGCTGCCCTATCGGTGAGGGAGATCGCCGCGGCGCTGTGGCGAATGCAGCCGCCGCAGGCGCCGCCGCCGCCTGGGCCTGGGACGGCGCGACGTAGTAGGGCTCAGGTGAGCATGCCGTGAGATCTCTGACAGTGATGTGCTTGTGCGTGCGTCGAGATTGTTTTGTTCTAGGGTTGTAGATGGCGCTACTTTGGTAGCGTAGCAGCTGGTGTCGCCGTGTCGGTGGTGCACACAACTGACAGTTTTGGCACATAGCTCATCATTTCCTGTAGTTTTGGAGAAATGTCGGTATAGAATTGTTGGGAATTGACTGTGTCGGGTACACACGTGCTGCTTCTCTTATCGAAGCTGCATAGAATTTGCAGACTCACGTCGATCTGTTTAGGCATACTCTAGAGTACCAGTAAAGTACCTCACTACTTCGGTTAAACTAGCATTGTGGCTTTCCAGTGTTGGTGTTTTGGTCAGACTTAGAGAAAAATGCTAATGTTTGTGCATCCATGATGAGCGATTTCATGATTATAAGGTCAAGCTGTGCTGAAACATTATGTTTGACATAAGGAAAAGTGTTACACCATCTCTAAGCCCAATGGTTGCAGGGATGATTCTTTGAGTCTTTTAGGAAACCGGAGCTATGGAACATCCTTATAGATCAGGTTTTGGTACTCATCCACATTGAGCAAACTTTCCAAACTGCATATTGCTTTCCCCCCATCTTGTTCCTCTGCATATTTGGCCACTTGGGTACCTTGCGCATTGGAATCACTTATGGATGTCAATATGTAGCTGACACTTTTAGGATAATGAGTCCATTTTCTGTTATTAAAACGACAATGTTGTGCTATTTTGTCCCATGCTAAATCTAGTTAATTCAGTTTTTGGTTTGGTCCATTTTACCTATTTTTTGTTCAGGTTATTGATTTGGCTTTTAGATCTGTTCATCATTTCAATTCAAATGATGAGGTATTTCAATCCATGACATGATATAAGTACTCTTGTAGACTTATAGTCTTGTTTGAGTGTGGGCGTATAGGTATTGTGGCCCAGTGGTCCCTAATAACCTTTGTCAATTGCCATTCTAATTGTTTGATGAAGGTAGTCTCCCTTGTTAAAGAAAAGTTTAACGAGGGCATCAATATTAATTAGGAAGCAATGCTTCAGCTGATTACTTTCTATGTCGATACCCCATTTCACATGCATTACCATAATAAGTAGATCTTTCCTTTTCTTGATGTAACTGTTCAGCTAACAATTCAATTCATGCATTGGAAACTGCAGTCCAGTTCAAAGCGCCCACACACGCCTTCTGACCATTGTCAGCAATATAAAGCAGTTATCCAGGGCAGGACAGGGAATAGCACTGTTAGCAATATCCCACATGAGGTACAGTACTTTCATAACTAAAGTATGTTCTGAAGGAACAGTCATTGTAAAATATTTATTACCAAGTCCTATCTGATCTGACACATTATGTTTACTGCAAATAGATGGAAGCACATTCTGCAAAAGGCCAAATAGAAACAGAAATGGCAACAAAGTGGAACCATCAATTCATGAAAGCTTCCCAGGGTGCAGATTATGATTACATTGAACACAATCAGAGGGATGCTGGTGGAGAAATCTATTCATTGAGGGAGGAGCTTATGGTGGCTCAGGACCGGATTCATGAGCTTGAAGCAGAGTGTCGATCTACAAAAAGCAGCTTGATCACTTGGCTAAGAATATTGCAGAGGAAAAGGCTTTGAAGAGCAGGGAACATGATAAGTTTCACCACATCTTAGATGCTGTTAAGGAAGAACTGAACCGGAGAGGAAACGGCGCAGCGGGCAGAAATGCTGAATTCCAAACTGCACAATGATCTATCTGAGATGAAGTTTGCTGCAAAGCTGCTATTTGCAAGATTATGAGAAGGAGAGGAAGGCACGGGTGCTCATGGAAGAGGTTTGTGATGAATTAGCTAAGGAGATCGCAGAAGACAAAGCTGAGGTTGAGGCTATGAGAAGTGAATCGATGAAGATCAGAGATGAATTGGAGGAAGAGAAGAAGATGCTCCAGATGGCTGAGGTTTGGCGTGAAGAGAGGGTACAAATGAAGCTGGTTGATGCAAAGCTGACACTTGAGAATAAGTATTCCCAGCTGATCAATCTTCAGTATGAACTTGAGGATTTCCTTCTGCTCCCAACCAGGCTGTAATATAGAAAAAGGAACAGTAAGGAAGCAGAGAGGCTCAAAGAAGCAATCTGCTCTTCGGTGATAAATGGTATCAAGGAGTTCTCTTACAAGCCCCCCTCCTTCAGAAGACATTTTTGCTGTATTCAAGAACTCAAGCAAAGAGAAGATACTGCTGAGAAGGTGATTGTACAATGTAACGGAAATAGGCCCAAGAGTCGTGGCATCAAGAGCCCATACAGCTAGTCCTGAAACAGACATGTTCTTGGAGAATCAGCCAAGCAGATATTGCAATCAGCCTCGCAATCTTAAATGAGGCGGCAGAAGATGATAGTGGATGGGAAACTGTAAGTTAAGTTGAGGAGAATGGGTCTAGTAATTCACCTGGAGGAAGTGAACCGTCTGTAAATGGCTTCTGTGGAGAAAACGATGCTTCCGTGAGTGGAACTGATTGGGATGAAAACTGTGACAATGATCAGGCACATAGTGAGATCAGTGAAGTTTGCTCAACAACAGCAGGTAGGTCGAGGAATAAAAGATCATTCGTCGGACTATGGAGATCATCAAACACTGTCGACCAAAAGAAAATGGGATCCAATACACTCAATGGTAGATCATCAAATGCCAGGATGTCAAATGTCACTGAATCTCCTGACCTGAAGAACAGTGAAGTGTGTGACAGTCCGCACATCACAGCGCAATGGAGGCCAGACCTGCTAAACCCGGACATTGTTCGAAAGCTATAAAGGATGCATCGACTGGCCTCGAGGAGTGCAGAAGCACAGCTTGAAGTCCAAGATTCTGGAGGCAAGGATTGATGGCAGTAAGGTCCAGCTGCGTCAAGCATTGAAGCAGAAGATATAGCATGGTCAGCAGGTCACATTCTTGGATGAAGGAAAGAAAGATACCATGATGCGTCTGCTAGTGGGGCTTCTTCAGCTGGAGGCCTGGAGCAGGCAGCGCCTCATGAAGAGGAATTGCTGCAGCAGTGGGTGCTAGATTTGACTGTGCCCAATTGATGCCTGACGGCCCACCTGCTTCCCTAATGAAATTGTTAGCCCAATGCCCCGTTGTAATAACGCCTGTCCTGTGTAGAAATATTTTAATCAAATAAGCAATGAAATCATTCGACCACACTAACTGATGTCTTGTGGGCTAAGTCCGGGCCCAAAATTTGTTTCCTTGTTAAGGTCCGTGTTGTTCTTACTTCCTGTGGTGAAAGGAGTGTAGAAAATAGATACTGATGTCTTGAAAGAGCCAGTAGCCTAGTACGCAAAAAAAATGAGTCCCTCCTACTAACGGAAGTGCAAAGTAGTGTTAATGTCATATACTGTGCTATACAATACCCTCTTGTGAGGTGTTAGTCTCCAGCCAGAGCCAGGGCGTTTCTGCTGCGAAGCTGCTGGTTGCGGCTTGGGCATCTGAAAAGTTAGAAAGCAGACTAGGAAATGAAGCGCATTAGTAATGCTTATACACGAATATAACGGCGCACACGAAAGGAAGAATAATATGGTGCGCACTGTGAACAAAAAAAACGCTCTAGAAGGACCTGAAAGCGATCGCCGTGTTGAAGCCAACTTAACTATTGTCATGATTTTTTTTTGTTACTCTGTGCTCACATACCCAACGAGCTAAAAAGATCTTTTGACAGTTGACTGATGAAAAGCAGTCGCCCACTGAAGTGCTCCACCTGTCAAGAGCCAATAGCCCAATACCAATACCTCTCACCAGAGTCACAGTCATAACACCGAGGGCATATACGCCTTTGCGAGAGGTCCGTCCACGCTCCCCCGGCACTGTCCAGTTGAAAATGCCCATCTCGCGTGTCGTGGACCATCCGCGGACGCAAGCAGAAGCAGATCAGCACGCATCGTATCGCATCGCATCAGTTCATCTCACCACCCCCACGCCCAGCTCGCCGACCACGCACCACACACCTGTCTCGGCCTCTCGTCCGGAAAAGGAGAGCCGGAAAGCAGGGCGGAGAAAAGAGAAACCGGGCGCCACACTTGGCACTACGGGCGGTCCCCGGGCCCCGGCGGAATTTTTAAACACTTTTTTTAAATAATTTTTAAAACTGACAATGTTTAATTTTTTTTAAATCTAACACTTTTGGCCGCGCCTATTCGCATGACGCGACGAATACAATATGTCGCGCCATACATGGAGGCGAGGCGAGGCTGCCAACGTGGCAATGACCAAGGCTGCTGACCGGTGATGTGGCCCAGCTCTGCCGCGCCACATATCATGACGCTGTCGCCGGACCGCCACACACGCATCATGGCGCGCAGCACTTTTTACAGTGCTCGCGGCGGCTCGCTCGCTCTCTCTCTCTCTCTCACTCGGCGGTTGTTTGAAGCAGTAGCCGCCGCCGCCACCACGCACGCTCGACCAAGGCCGCCACCGCTTTCACCGCCACACTATGCACGCCACGCTTATGCACGCGGCTGCTTCACTGCCAGGCCGCTGCGTTCTGGCCACGACACGCACGCCGCACATCTCGCCGACATTGCCCACCACGACGCCGCCGCCCGCCACTGGCCACCGCCGCCGCCCACCACTCAGCCCTCCGCCACGCCCACCCGCCCATCGCTTCATCATTGTTGCTCACACAGACACCACTCCCAATCTGTCACACATCTCCTCTATCTCAAGGCTCACCGCCGCCGACGGCCGACGAGGCTAGGCCAAGGCCTCTCATGACCACCCGCCCCGGTCGGGTCTAGCTAGGCCACCGCTGTGAGGACGAGCTAGACGACGCCGCCATGAGGATTTAGAGCACATAGGCCGCCACAGGCACTCCCTTGTGTATTTGTTGATTGAATCGACATTGTTGTTACTTAGGGTTAAGATGCAAAATTAGTTTGAATGATTAGTTAGTATAGTAAGTTAGTACAATAAGTAAAGTTAGTATAGTTAGTAAAGTATAGTTAGTGTATAGTTAGTAAAGTTAGTTAGTTTATTTAGTATAGGCAAGATAGTAAGTTAATATAGTTAGTAAAGTTAGTTAGTTTAGTTAGTATGCTTAATGAGTCTAGTTAGTTATTGTATTTAGTATAATTAGTTGTTGTAGTTAGTCTTGTATAGATGTTAATATTAGATTAGTTAGTATAGTTATAGTTAGAATATGTATTAATATTATTATGGATAAAGACGCATTTATTTATTTCGACGATTTGATAAAGTTTCTTGAAATGCTTTTGTAGATGGATTGTTGTGTTAGAGTGTTTTACTTGAGGAAGTGTTAGAGAGAAGATGATATGTTTGAGGATATGGAAAAGAATTAGAATGATTTGATGAACCTCCTAGCTTCAACAACCCAGGTCCGCTTGAATGCAAAGTTTGACGGTGATTTCACATCAAGGGAGGTTTGATATCTGGAAGACGATGATGCGGTAAAAATTTACGTCGGGCGCTAGCTGCACTCTTTCTAAGCGCATCAGAAGTAAAGATTGCAATACCATTTTTTTGTATGTAATGTTTTATGAGATAACACAATATCCGCTATAAAAATTAAACATTATTTGTTATATGGGTACAATACATAAATAGTTCAAATGAAACACAATGCAACACCAAGAAAGTTATAGTACGATACAAATACCAAATCTAAAACATCGAACTAGCACACTCAGATTTAATCCTCGGCCCCAAACATATCGAGTAAGTAACTCATCATCCGAAAGTACCACCCTCTACCATAATCTCGCTGTCGTGGCTAGGCTTTACTCAGATTTCCCTCGATCCGCTTATCGCCTATAGTAAGCTTCCTCCGCTTCATCTACGGGCCCGAGTCAAGAACGCTGGCCCTCCTCCATCCGCTCATGTGGCTAGGCTCACATGCATTGTCTTGATCTCGTCTGCTGTTCGTAGTAAGCGGCATCCGCTTCATCTCGGGTCTCTCAGAGCTCGAGTGAAGAACATGTCGCCATCCTCCTCCCTCAGAACTCCGCCTCGCTAGAGCGATGAGCTCGCCTGGGCCTACCAAAGATCGCCCTCGCCTCCTCCACCGCAAGCTCGCCAAAGAAGAGCGATGAGATCGCCAACCCGACAAAGGTCGCCCTCATCCTAGTCCCCTCATCGATAAACATAATTGAGATTGAACGGTGCGACCATCTCGCTGCCGCACTCATGCAACTTTTTTTCTCAAATCTTGCACGAGCCACCTTCATGCATGGTACTCGCTACATCTAATCCCTTTATGTATGAAACGCAACAAGTTAGCAACACGATTATATTACATTTAAAAGGTGCAATGGAAATAACAAGGCTTTTATGACTCATCGGGCACACAATGCAACAACATGGTCGCTCAAGACCCGTGATCGTGCATTTCTTTCCTCCCCGCCTTTGCCTCATTCCTTGCCCTCTTCTCCTCTAACGCCCTCTCGCTCTCCAATCCCCATTTGTTTAGGCCAACATCGATCGAAGTTATTTAATACCGCTACTGCCTAGCAAACTCATGCATCTTGTTTTTGTGATGTTTAACTAATAGGTTAACGAAGTCGTGTCCATATCCTATCTTTCGCAATTACTTGCCTCCCCTTTAGTTCATCCAAGAACTTAGCTTGATCATCATAACATTCCCAATTGTATTTCCTAGTGCTCGCTCAAATAAAAAATTATATCATATATGTCTTAGCAAAAGAAACAAAATATGATTTCATATTTACCACAAAAATAACCAACCTCATCATAGTCAACCATATGGCCGCAATAATGGCCTATTCCAAGTTCAAGGACTAGACCGTAGTTAGATTTAATACCACATTCAAGACTTGACTAGATGTGCTTTGTAAATTAACTTTTTTTTCTCCTTTTTCTTTGCCTTTGGTGGCTCCAAACCATTGATTCTTAGGACCCAGAGAGCCACTCATTGAAATGACACCTTGCAAATCCATAACGCTACAAGAGAATACATTAGTACACGCACACATATAGAGATAAACATTTAAACAGATACACTTTCCACTTACTTCGTATTTGTTCGGACACACAAACTCCAACGTATTCTCAGGATTTATCACAACTCGATCTCCAGATTTGCACAGAGGAGGTCCCTCGAGTCGCCTAACTGCGGCTAGGTGCTTCTCCTTAGCTGCTATTGGTGGGGGGGTTAGGGGTGGAACGAACTCGAAGTGCTCACGGATGTCTCCCTCTACACCAATCGTTAAAAAGGAGGTACCTAGGATCAAACTTTTCTACACCGTCGATCCAATCGAAAAGAAAAGGCACCTCTCATGGTCCTACACAACAAGATTCTAACAAAATATTAGTTGCCTACTTACACAAATGAAGAAAAAAGATAGTGAAAACAATTACTTACATTAAAACGACTACATGTATAGAAGCAACGCTACGTCACCAGGTCTAGATGTCTCGATTGAAACACGTCTGCTGGGAAATCACACCACAGCTTAGGGATGTGGAGGTCAAGAGGATGTGGGGCATCTTTGCTAGACGTTGCCGGGTATAATTTCGAGGACGCACCCTGCTTTTGGCCAAAACTCCCCCAATACATTTCTTGCATCTAACAAAACGGTTGTAATTTAACAAACAAAAATCAAAATATCACAAATTAATGTCAATGAGAACAATTTGCATTACAACAAATAAAATATAACCTATACTTTGGTGCAAACTATATCTGAGATGCAAACATGAAAACTATATAAAAATTATACTTTGGCCAGTAAAAAATAAAATTTGGTAATCATAATTCTAACTATACTTTGTGTCCATATAT